GTTATTTTATTTTTACAAACAAATTGGAGCGTGTTTGAATTTAGTGTTCTTTCCTTTCAACATCAATCCTTCGTAACTCGTAAGAGTAGCATCTTCTTAAACGTCTTTTTATTTTATTTTATTTTATTTTTTAATTTTTAAGCATCTTCTTAAACGTGTATCTCAAAGTGGAAAAATAGAATATAAACTAACGTAATAAATTAATAATCGTTGGCTCCTCAAATGTTGAATTTGGCACAATGAAATATACTTATAACAGTTGATTAAAATTCTATAATTAAAAATTATAATAATATTAAATTTATAGCGGAAAAATCTGAACCCAAACCGATAAATACGCGTTTTTCTTGTCTAAATCGAGGCGGGTTCGGGCGGATACTCACATGAGCGAATTAAATTATCATGCCTAATAAGAGTACTTTAATCTCTAACATTAAGAATAAAATTAATTAATTTGATAAATTAAAATGATGATAGTAAATAATTATCAAAATAAATATTGTATTTTTATAATATCAAATGAATTATATTGTGGACTATTATTTGACGATAATTGAAGGGTGAATTTCATGATTTTCATCTCTTATTCGTAGTATTTTAGTAACAGTAAAAATTATTATTTGACGATAATTGAAGGACGAATTTCATCTGGTATTCATAATATTTTAGTAACACAAAGAAAATGACACGTTAAAAGATTTGTTGGTGATTGTTTTCAAAAAAAAAAATCTCTTTTGAAAGCTAAGAGAAGAGGCATTTTGTGAACTTTTATATTGCATTTGTGCATATTTTTTATTCATATTTATTTTATATGGCAGTAAATAAAATAAAAGAAATATTTTAGCAAAACGATATTGAAAGCATTAATTGTTTGTGAGGAAAAAAGAAATAAAAAGAAAAAGTGATGATATTGAGAATGAGAAAATGTATGAGAGTTGGTTATTGCATGAATGGGAAGTAGTAATAAATGTTGCACATTAATTGCGAGTTAAGACTAATACTACATATGATTTTCTTGTTTTGTGCTTTTGCCTTTTGGGTCCTTTGATGATTCGGTGCGTTACGGTGCAGGTACTCCTCGCAACGTAATTGGTTACATCACTGCGTTGATCACATCAGTCCAAGTCCATGATAGGGACCGTACAGACCACCGCAGCAGATAGAAAGAGTGGTTCGAACTTGGAACCGGTTTGGAATAATAGAGCAATGATAGCGCTGGAGCGCCAAAAAATGGGAATGCTTTATATTGTTTATCATAACACCGAATACGCCGAATGGTTTTTTTTTTTTTCGATAACGGTAATATTATAAATTAAAACACATAATATTTAAATATTTTCACTGAATAACGCAATGGCTTAAAAAAAAATACATCAACATTATTATTATTAAGTAAAAATTAAAAAATAAAACAAGTAAACAATATATGTTACACACTATTCCACTAACGTAAAAGCAACAACATAGTAGCTTTGATTGAAATGTGCGTTGAAAGAAAAATATCATTCAACTTAATGGATAAAAAAGTTATCAAATAATTGGATTGATGTTCAATAACATCTAAAAGTTTGTTTAAGCATTGAAACGGTAATCCAAACATAGCTTAAAAGGACAATTTTCATGCGATAGTAAAGGAAGATGAGATGTTAATTTAATAACTCAATAATAATATTAATTAGTACAAAATTGTTTCTCTAACATGGTTAGATGATGGTATCTAAATTTATAAGGTAATGATAGATCCTTATTTATTTATTTAACAAAGTCGTATAAAATTAAAATGAGTGATAATGATGTTAGTGGTTAAAGTATCAATATGTCACATATCCCCCTTATTCGGGTGCTTTTACACTTTTAATGCTGAAAAAGATTAACATTGTTTTTTATTAATTATTTTTACAAACTAACTTATGGTAGTAATAGTTTATTACTCACAGAGTAATAAACTATTGTGTTGCACAAAATTGAATGACCCAAGTTCAGTATGTATCATTAAAAGAGAAAAACTTAGTTCAGATAGGATAGAATCTAATTATTATAGAGCTTTTATATATATATATATATATATATATATGGTATGT